ATTTTTTTATTCCCATATAGAGGGCATTATATTTTTGTCTCGAAGAACGTATTGCTTCTTCTATGTGTGTCTTCCTTTTTTGCCCTATCTTGTTGACCACCGTTTGCGCCAAAATTTCCCAATTTTTTGTCAATAAAAATCTTCCGCTTTTTACATTGCAAACTCCAAAAACCTTTTACAATTTGTATCGATATGAATTTTTGTTGGGTTTTTAAAGCGGCAAAAAGTGATGCACTAGGTTTGACGGTTAGACTAAGAAGAATTTATTCAATGTAATCTTAAATTAAGGTATCGAGTGCAGTATCGATATGTTCTGTTATTAATATTAGTAATCGGAATGTTTCGACACCCCCCCCCCTCAATACACATTATTGACAATTAATTTGAGACCAAGCAATCTATTACAATTTTCATGTTTTTACTTGCTCAAATTCTTAGTTAAGATATCTGCCATCATTTGACTCGTTGGACAATATTCCAGCTGAATCACAAGCTTATTAAAAACTTCTCGCACGAAGTGATAATGAATATCTATATGCTTGCTTCTTGCATGGTAAACTGGATTTTTAACTAAGTTCATAGCGCTCAAATTATCGCCATGAATTACAATACTTTTCATATTTCTGTATATGTTCATTTCGTTACATAATTTCAGAATATAAACAGCTTCTTTAGTTGCTTCCGACACTCCCATATATTCGGCTTCAGTACTACTTAGTGCTACTGACGACTGCTTCTTGCTTTCCCAGGAGAATGCGCTACCGCCAAGAATGAATGCGTATCCAGTGTACGACTTTCGGTCCTTGTTATCTCCACCCCAGTCCGCATCAACGTAGCCTTTGATGGGATTTCCAGTTTTAGCATATGTTATGCCCATTGAAGACGTCGTCCTCAGATATCGCAGCAATTGTTTTGCTGCTGCCCAGTGTTCTTGGTGGGGATCCGTATTTCGTTGAGACAGCTTACATACTGAATGTAAAATGTCAGGTCTGGATGTAACTGCCAGATACATTAATGATCCGATCAGTGACATTGTTGGCTCTCACATTTGGTGGTATACCCGGACGCCAACGGTACTGATGCTGGCCGACACGCTTCCATGCCAAACTTCTTATGGAGCTGCAACACATGCTGCTGCTGGGTGATCGTTATGCCCTTCCTATTGATTTCCATACCAAGGAAGTGATGTATAGGGCCCTTGTCAACCACCTGGAAAATTCGAGATATACTTTCTTTTATACTGGCCAACTCACCAATATCTGATGAACATATCAGCATATCATCCACATATACTGCGATTATGTTTATGTTGTTTTGTGTATGCCTAGTATATACAAAAACCCAATTTTTGTCATCATCTCGATCAGCTATTTGTTCCACATCCGTCCAGACTGTTTTTAGCCCATATAAGGACTTTCCGTGGATACATCAAGTTGGTGTACATGTAGCTCCAGTTCAGCTGCTATGGCCAACACCATCCTTATTGTCGTTTCGTCGTAGTTCACTCCGTGTTTCTGGCTGCAGACCTTTGCTACTAGCCTAGCCTTGTATCGTTCTATGGTGCCATTTTTGTCACGTTTTAGTGCAAAGACCCATCTGCATCCAATCGCCTTATGATTGGATGGTAATTCTGCTGGTTCCATTCAGTTTTAGTGCTCCGAATTCTTGTGCCATGGCCTTTTGCCATTCGATCGCCTGTGGACTTTCCAATGCTTCTTCCACAGTTTCTGGTGTTACGAGGGCATCACTGCTCACAAGATTCAGCTCTGGTCTGGTCTTCGCCATCCGCGCCCACTGGTTCTTTCAAGTCGGTTACTTTTCTTGCTGATTTCACTTTTATTGGTATCGGTGTTACCGTTATCTTCGCCGGTGCCTTTGCTGCTGCCTCTGTTGCTGGCTCTGCTGCTGGCTCTGCTGCTGGCTCTGCTGCTGCCTCTGCTGCTGCTTCTATTGGACTGCACTTCTGTAATTACCTTGCTGCAATTAACATGGGTATATCAACTGCACTTGATTCTGTTGTTGACTCAACAAAATATACATCACGGCTTACGATCATTTTACCACTGGCGCTGTTGTACAGCCGATATGCTTTAGCTTAATCTGCATATCCAACCAGTATGTATTATATACCCTTCGGTCTAAATTTCCGATTCTGTGTCTTGTCCAACGCTATCGCCAAGCACCCAAATGTACGAAGGTGGCCAACTAATGGCTTTCGCCCTGTCCATAACTCGTATGGCGTACTCTGGAGCACAGCTTTTGTAGAAGATAAGCTGCCGTATGTACAGCTTCTGCCCAGAAACTTTCTTTAAGTTTGGCCTCTAGCAGCATACATCGCGCCATCTCCACGAGGGTACGATTCATCCTTTCTGCAACTCCATTTTGCTGGGGTGTGTGAGGCACACTCAATTGACGGACGATCCCATTTTGTTTCAGAAATATGTCAAACTCGTTGTTTACATATTCTCTGCCATTGTCACTGCGGAGTATTTTGATCCGTTTTCCCGTTTGGCATTCCACCATGTTCTTATAGTTCTTAAACACATTTAGAACTTCTGATTTATTTTTGATAAAATATACGTGAACATATCGCGATTTATCATCAATCATTGTAACAAAGTAACGTGATCCTCCGTTTGAACATATGTTTATAGGGCCGCAAACATCACTATGTATGAGGTTTAGCACGTCCTCACTTTTGCTGACCGACATATTAAATGGCTTCGCGGAACACTTACTCTGTAGGCATATCTTACAGTCAAATTCGCTTGTGCTGTTGAAGTTCACTCCACGCACCAATTTCATATTATTTAACTGTTTGAGGCTTTGCATATTCAGATGTCCATATCTCTTATGCCATTTTATAATATCCTCACTGCCACTTTTGCCATTTCCACTTAGGAACACTGTATTTATAGTTTTTGTTATTTCAAACCGAAATAAATTGCTTCTATGATTCGCAATAATCAGAGTTTTACCGTTTTCGTCACATACACACGCACGATTGTTTTTAAAGTTTACAGTGCAGCCTCCTTTTATTGCTCTGCTCACCGAATTAAAGTTGCATTGTAATTGTGGCACATAAAGAACGTTTGTAAGTGTTACTGTTGACGATTCCGTTTTAATCATGACGACTCCTCGTCCGACTACTTCCAGTGATTTTTCACCAGCAAGTGTGACTGTATCAGTGAATTGTTCAAACGAATTAAACATATTTTGATTTGCGCACATATGAGCTGTGGCGCCACTATCTAAGCACCACGCTGACTGATCAAGCAATCGTTCACCGTTTTTTGCACTTAGCAACGTGAAGAATGATTTTTCGTCTCTTCCTTTTACATGACCTTCGTTCGCCTTGGACCTACATTCTGCAGAAATGTGGCCAATTTTACCGCAATTGTAACACTTGATTTTTTTGTTTCGGTTCTTGCCTACTTTGTCTGTCATTTTTGCACTCTCTTTAGGGTAGTGTGCTTTGCTTAAAAATGCCTGTGCATTATTTTCGTTCACACTCTCTCTGTGTGCTTCGCTCTTGCGTCTCTCACACTCTTCGATCAATTTAACCTTCAAAATACTAAACTTTGGTAATTCATCACGTGATTCCAATGCTACAACCAAATTTTCATATGATTTAGGTAAACTTGCCAAGAGTAAAATAACATATATTTCCTCTTGCAGCACAATGCCAATTTCTGCTAACTGATCCACGGTGTTCACAAAATTTGCAATATATATTTGCATGTTCTCATTCTCGGTTATCCGCATGAAGAGTAATCTCTTGAACAATGTGACTTTTCTCACTGGACCGGTGGGCTGATGCACTGCCTTTAGAGTTATCCACGCACTCGACGCCGATTCACATTTCTTAATGTGACCAATCTCAGAGCCTCTTATTGAGAGAGTAATCACCGCTAAAGCCTTTTCGTTTTTTGATAACCACTGACTATATTCACTCGTCTTGTCTGAGCTTGGGCATTTCATAGCTCCCGAAGTGACGGACCATAGCTCTTGGTGAATTAGCACACTTTTCATTTGGACACACCACGAATCATAATTTGTTTCGTCCAACTTGTCTATATTGTACAGCGCAATCATTTTTCGCTCGTACTTGTTCTCACACAGAAAACTTTAGTTGGTAATGCACACAGCAATACAAAATTATGCAATTCTAATGAAAAAATGTCACTCGACCTTAAACGCGGCTTTTCAGCATAACCTTAGTTTCATTCAACTTTTTCTTCTATGCCTAGGCCCATAACCTGTTGGGTTTTTAAAGCGGCAAAAAGTGATGCACTAGGTTTGACGGTTAGACTAAGAAGAATTTATTCAATGTAATCTTAAATTAAGGTATCGAGCGTAGTATCGATATGTTCTGTTATTAACATTAGTAATCGGAATGTTGTATTGATCTTTTACATATTTTCAACAATTTTAAATTAACTTTATATGTATATCGACAATGCTTGTAACGCCTAATATACATATACTTTATGTGGTTCAGAAACCTTTCTTTCTTCCTGAACAAGTTCACGATATCATCTTCAAGCTCTTATGATAAATAGTTGGCACAAAAATCTTGAGGCTTTAAAATGAAAAAGTGGTTTGATAAATAATTAATGCAGATTGCAGCTCAAATCGCATTCGCAAGGCTCATAAAGAAGCTCTCACACAGAAGAAAGTGGCAGACATTAACAATAAAATTAAAACGATGAAAATAACAATACACAAGCGATGAGCGAAAGCAGTGAAATAAAAAAACAATTGGGACATAATTTCTAGTATCGTTTATTTCGTCGTTTTATATGCGTTTCTTACGTATCTTGGTGTAATTTGAAGTTGCCACCTGGGAAATCTGTGAGGGTGAGCTGCTTAGACGCAGGACGACAATGAGCAACAATTACCGCTGAACGAATTGATCTTTTGAATTTTCTGCCAGTTTGTTTGAATTACATTTTAGTTGCCATGGCAAATTGTTGATATCTTAGCAACCGTTTGATTTGTTGACTGAAACGAACGGCATTTGGCAAATGGAAGCACAAATCAAAGTCACAACAGCAAAATGAATATTAGCTCAACGGTTTGGTATGGCATATCTCTAAACATATAACATAATTTATAGATTAATTAACTGGAACTGTTAAATTCAGTTGGTGCAACAACTATGATGGCGGCAGCATTGCAAATGTGGGTCCCGATGTTTGCGCCCTTCGACAGGCCAATTTGATCAAATTTACGCAGATGTCAACGCTCGCAGTCAGCTATTTCAGAGCAGAAACCGTTGCCACTGGCCTGCACATAAGCGCCTTTGCCGGTCACAATCGCTTTCCGCTTTTTGGATTTGCCGAGAGTGTTCTGCGCCCCAACATATACGTCTACAAGTATCCCGAGTTGACCAGATACTCGACTCTGTCGTGTAAGTGTGTCACGGATCTTTTCAAAATCAGAAAGGAAATCGTTGGCTTGTTTCATAATTATTTATCATAATTAAATATGAATGTCTTAAAGTATTTAAACCCCACTAACCAACATCTCTTAACGCCCTTCAGCTTCCATACTGAACTTTACTATGATACGATTTTCTGATCTCGATCTACTCATTGGAATCGGCGGCTATCCGAATTATGCAATTTGTGTGTTTAACTTTCGGACAAACACAACTATCCTGGAGCATCCAACATATATTGATACTCGACCATTTTCGGTAGCATTGGGTACTGGGAGTTTTCCCGTAATAGTCCAGTACGACAAGATAGAATTGCGCATTTTATGCTACCAGATGTGCTACGCGGAGAAAGAAGTGTTCCTGCATCAGGTGTCCGAGGTGGAAATGGGCAGGAACTATCTGAAATCCGAACGCAATTTCATGAGCTTCAGCGACGATGGACTCTATGTGATCAGCGACTATGGCGAATTCTCCCAGATTGACATCGCCTGTTTCACCATCAAACAGCGCTGGTCAACCGCCAGCCTAAGCGAGTATGCCAACGAGGTCCTTGCTCGTCCACATGCCCTGCTGTTCCACCGATCGGGATTCCTAATTTGGACGAGTGTCAGGGCGTTCTACATTAAGAAGAAGGCCGGCAACTTTGTCGTCGAATGGACGATTGATCAGAGCTTGGCAAATGTCTGCACGCTCATTAGCAATCAGAATGGAGAGCTTTATGCCTCGAGCGAACTGGGTGGCATTGACCAGGTGATGGTCGAGGAGAGCGAGGGTAAACTGAACCCGGTGATTGTTGCCGGTAAAAAAGTGCTGTCCTTTCGGATGCTCTCCTGCTTCAAAGAAGAGTGCGTCGTGGTGTTGCACAACGATGGCATTGCCATGATGGATGTACCATATGGCAAAACGATCTCCACGGTGCCCATTGATTTGGCCTGCGCCATCTGTTCGCATCGCAACAATCCTTATGTAATTGTCGGCACCGTAGACGGCGTCCTGGTGCTCATCCACTTCGAAAAGCCCTCGGTGCCGAACATCGTCTATGAGCTGACATGTGATTCGGCAGCTGTTTTTGCTATGGACTATCACGACAACTGCGCCGTCTTTCAGGATCAGGCCAAGGCTCTGCACATTGTGAATATTGAGTACCGACCGCCCAAGATGACGTACTATTTTGCCATCAAGGATGAGCAGCTGGTGAAGCAAGTGTTTGTGCACAGCTTCCTCCTCGTGGAGGGGCCGCGTCTCTTGGTGATGATATCGCGCGATAAAAACATACAAAAACCAGGCCATGCGGATGAGATGTGGATATATAATTGGGGCAAGGATAGGCGGCTGCATAGACGTGAGTTGCCGTTGCCCAACTCATATGTGGCATTCATCGTACAGCCACCCATGGGTCGCTGGGTGCTGATTGAGATTGTGGGTGTGGTCAAGGATAGCGCCGTATTCGACCAGTTTGTGCTAAACGACAGCAGCGAACTCCAGTGGGCTGCATCGATACAATCGGCCCACTTCGGACACATCATTGATGTCAACATGACGAGACATCTGCTCACGTGGGGCGTTGATGGCATCATGGTCCACTTTCGGCAGCACAAGCGTGCCAAGAAGGCATTCATGATGTCACGCTTTGTCTCACTCTTCTTTCGGCCCCAATTTGTGTTGCGCGCCAAGGAGTGCTACAATTCCAAGTAGGTATACCTTTAGCTCTGTTGTCCCAATATACTTACACTATCCAGCAATAGTTTATTCAGTTCTCAACCTGCAAGTAAAAATACTTGGCACATTTTTATCTAAACAGTTCTTAAAAATCTGTGTACGATTAGCCATATCATCATCAAGCATTTACCATAAATTGAAAGATAAGGTCAATCAATTTATCAGCTCGGGACGACTACTTAATTACATAAAGCGTCTAGAAATAATTTCTGTAAACTTGAAAACATTTCTTAAAATTTTAAAAGCTATATGGACTATTTATCTTTTGTATGAAATTTGTTCTTATAATTAAGAAATGCTTTTCTAAACAGCAATTATGCAAATAAATTTCATCTTCAAATTCTGCAAATAGTAATGATATTTACTGCTTCGATTTCTATATTATATTTTAGAATTATATGTTAGAATTCTTCTCTTCTATGTACATACATAGAAAATAACATTTTTTATACATAGTCATATATTTTCTGAATTTTAGAAATGTCCACCCTGAATTTAAGAAACACATGAATCCCAGTTTTTAGAAACACGCAACCTTAAAACCTTCAACCTTTGGTACCAAAAATATAGCGAATTTACAAATTTCAGTATGTTTTTGTTGAGTGTACGCAAGCCTGTCCACATCTAAATTTAATAATAATAAAAAAAAGTAAATAGCTTTTCCACTGATTAATCCTATGGCAGCTGATTGATATTATTTGTATTATTTTTAATATTATTAATATTATTATCATAATTATAATTATTATTGTTATTTTTATTAATAATAATAATTAATATGTTTAAAAAATAAAATCAGTTTGATCCGTGTGCACGCAGGAAAAACACGGATTAAACAATGATCCATTTAGGTAATTTGAAAACTGAGCTTGCTAGCTAGAACAATAAACAGATAGACCAATCGACTGTATGACTATATTGATCATGCTTGTCTTGCGTAACATATGCTTTTACCATCTGGAGTACAACATGAATTCCCTAATATGTTATACAATTCGCAAAGTAATTAATTTTTTGAGGGTATATTCTTAGTTGTATATTGCAACTGAAAAACTAACTGTGCTCTTGTTTGGATTACTTCACAGATACCTGATAGTATTGGACGCCAACAATGTGTTCTTAGTGAGTCGCCTGCCCTCCTTGGCCGATCATGCGCGGGAGAACAGCGAAATATCTGTGCCTGAGAAATATATTGTACCGCAGACGGGGATGGTGTCACGAGCATTTGTGGCAGCCACCGTGAAATTGGAGGTGAAGGAGGAGTACACAGTTGCAGATATGTTTAAGCGCGACAAGATACTTCAGATGATACAGGATTTCTCGGCCAAGGTGACGGCGCTGATCGATTACGATATTTCCGTGACGGGCAAATCGAAGGGGATTTTCAAAAAGTTTTGCTACCACTATAAATGGATGGAGGCACTGACGGAGGAGGCGCACAAGCTGTGTGATTTGGAACGGGAGTCACTGATGCGCGCCATCGAGGATCAGTCGAGGATACGGGACTGGATTATGCAGCTGGTGACAAGCCGGGCTGTCAATATTAATTATAAAGTGCGATCCATATTTGCCGAAGCAAATTTCGAGAGTTTTTCAGTTGTGCGCAAGTCAAATATGATCGTATTCGACAAATATCGCTTCTACGATCTGCAAGATCACATGCGTCTCTCTGTGTTTTCCTTAGAAGAATTGGCAGAAGACTCCTTGCACGGGGACATGGAGGCGGAAGAGGGCGAGGGCAAGCCAGCAGGCCATGAACTCAAACTGTATGTGGTGGAAGGGCCTAGTGTCTATGATCACATGATGGCACCACAATTCCAGTTGCAGTCTAAGGAAATAATCACATCGAATCAACTATTCAATGATGATTGCAAGTACCATTACTATTTGGTAGACCCCATGAAGCAGGAGTTCAACAAGTATTTCCACGAGGCGCAGCAATTGAAACGGGAGACCATTGACAATGTGCTAACCACAAATGGTGTGCTTACTCGAATCTATGATAACATGAATTGCATGCTGAGACTTCTCTGGATGGACTCGTTTCAGCCGCCCGAGCAAACGGTGCCCACCCTGGCCAAGGATGAGGTCATAAAGTCCATTCTGGAGGTGGATGACTCCGAGGTGAAGGCGATCAATCGACGCAAGCCCAAAGCAATAGACACGGGCGGCAAGCGAGGTCGACTTTTGCTGTGGTCTGTGGAATTCTGGGCACGGGCCCTGATTGTCATGATGGATGGCGTTATTGAGAAGCTATGGGAGGAAGAAATCAAAAAGGATATACCCATTCCGGAATTCATGCTCAAGAAGCAGCCGCACGAGTACTCGCTGGAGGACCAGAAGATATTTCGCGCCTATGAGGAGGCTGTGTATCTGCTCGAGCAGGATCGTCGCAAGTATTTGGGCATTCTGAACGAGAACGAGGCCAAAACGCTGCAGCTGAAGACCAAGCAAATCCTCAAACTGAACCAACGCGTCGCGGAGCTAATGCTGCTCAAACTTAGGTACGATTTTGCCCAGAAGCAGTGTCGTGTCCGAATGCTCAACAAGATCACCACCAGCAACGCACGTGGACAGTTGCGCGATAAAATCCGAGGATTACGCAGCGACATTGACAAGCTGAACGAGTACATCAAACGCTATGCGAATCTCTTCGACTTTTGGGAACGTGGCCAGCAGGATGTCCGCACACGACTCGAGGCACAACAGACCAGGGACCGCGCCTGCGAGCGGCAGTTTCGCGGCAACTTTCTAAACTCTGTGCCACATGCCGCTCACGAGATGACCAAGCTGTTCAAGAAGCGCCCCAAATTACCGAACAAGACATTTAATTCATCGTTGATTTGCAGTGAAGCCGCTCAGCGACTTAGTCCCAAACAGTCGCAACGTGGAGCTTTCCCCTTGCCCAATGAAATTACCGAATTTCTGGCCTTCATCGCCGACAATGATACGCCCAAAAATTGTCCGACTTCGGTGGATGCCAAGGCCTGGGAAGCGTTTGTCAAGCTGCGCCGGCAGAAGATCGAGAGCGAGTTGCGACTCAAGGGCATTAGCCACCAGTTGGTGGATAGCCAGAGCGCCTTGAACGGCCTCACCAAAGAGATCGCGGGTCTTAAGGAGACCAAGGCCCACACACAACGGGAAATGGAGGACACAATACAGACTTATGTAAGTTCATTAAATATACTCGATTGTAGTCTGCAGTCTCAATTGCTGTCAACGTGCCCCACCAATCTGTTGGCGTCGTCGTTGCGTAGGTCTGGCAACGGACCAGTTTACGATAGGTGGTGCGAGAGTGAAATTTTCAAGGATACGAAACATCAGCATGAGTCATTGTTGTCAAATTAATTATATTTTAAGGAGATATTAGATGTTGTTCTGGGGATGCATCAAAAAGATATGCAAAATAGATATGCAGCTGTTGGCAATGAACAATTCACAAAGCTAGAGTTGTTAAGATTTCATTTCACTTCTCAATCCAAGTGAGAAAGAATTAATCACAGTTTAAGCCATTCATTCGATGGTTTTATTCAGGAAATTTAATGAATGTGTCTCACACAACAACTAAAGCAACCTTCGTTGCAATCTAAAATTATTTCTTGTGTTTTTCGAGATCCGGAGTCTTGTCAATGCAACAGCTTTTTGTCTCGAATACTGTTAACATAAAATACACGTAATTAAATATAAAAATCTTGAAACAATTATTTTTATTTATCTTGACTGTCGACAATTCTTAAATTTTAATGTCAGTTGTTTGCATTTGGTTTGCTCTCAAAGTTAAAGGTTGAACAAATGTGTCAACATAATATTCGTCTATATTTTACATTAAAGATGACATAGATATTCGGTTAATATGACTCTCACCATCTGCTAAATTTGGAGTTATTCATTTGTTCTATGTATTCATCTGCAGAGTGCAAATGACTGTGAATGACCATTTTCCTGTATTCTTTCAGTAAGTTAGTCAGATCAACTTATATGAAAGATTATACAAATCGAAACCGAATTAATCAATAAATAGATTGTATTATTCTTCAGTCTAGCGTAAATCATTTTTTATTTTCAGTTGGAGACCATGAGGAACATGACGTTACAGTTGACATTAACACTGGGACAGGTCGAGGTGCAGGTCCATGGCTCCACCAAGTCGCTATCTAACAGTGTTCTAATGCATGTGGATGACATCAATGATGTTAACCACATGATAAAGGTGAATATCTATGCCATATGCAAGGCGACACCACTTTTATATATGACCGTTTACCCATTTGGACACAGGACGCAGGTAACAAGAAGATCAAAGCCATGCAGCGCGTTGCCGTGTTCCGGCGCCAGGTGATCTTTAAGGAATGGGAACACAAGCTATATAAGGCTAATATTGCCTATCTCAAGTACATGCTGGATGCCATCGAGAAATGCAAAGTATCCATTGAGTTTCTTAACATTTTACGCAACTGGGAGAAGGTGAAAGTCGAACGCCAGAAATACATGGCAGCTGGTGCCATCGAACGCATTGTGGAGCAAAAAATTGCAGTCTTTAGGAAACAAATCGATCGCATGTAAGTACTCAAGATAAGCATCAGTATTAGACTAAGCAAATATTTATTACAGCAACATCAAAATTGATAGTGTGCAGCAAAAGACACTGGAAATCAAACGCCAAAACCACATGATCGATTCCAAAATTGAACGCCTCAAAGTTAGCGTCACTCTTCAGAACTCACAGCGCGATGTTATGATGGAGCAGCGTCGCGATCGCGAGCAACGCGAGCGGTAAGCTACACCTACATATAGGCCATATTTATTAAAAACTAATAATACTAAGCAAATAATTAACGGTCTTGCAGCATGGAACAGATCAAGATTCATCGCCACCTAATGGACAATGTGCGCAAACACTATGCTCATGTCTTGGAGTTGCAAACGATCTTAGAGCTATTACGGCTGCGCACATACCCAACCTTGGGGCCACTGTTGCCCCAATGCCATCCTCCGGTACCAGATCATATACTCAACTCTGTACCATAGATATATAGTTATCTAAGTATTAAGAAGTACGATGCAAGCACTTTAAACTATTTTTGAACCTAAGAATCTAGCTGAGATTAATAATTATACTTATGGAGTGAGCAGATCAAAAATTTAGTTATAAAAATAAAATAAATATCACCTCAAACTGTACTTGTCTGTAAGTGTCAACAATAGCACTAAATTATTGAAATTTGACGTTTTTGTTTTCGTCACTTTTAGCATATTTATTTAAAGAGTTTCTTAAATTGAATTCAGAGCCACACTGACAACAATTTAGAAAACCACTTGCGAACCGTTCCCTCCACTTGAACGGCATTGTTAAACGAAAGAGTGGTCCTCAAGCTAATGAGCTGCTAGCAAAGGCAGATTCCAAACCCATTTCACCGCCTGGTCTAGGGAACTCAATCCCATTGATTTTCAACACCTTCAATTTTAATTAGCCGACCGACTACCGCAGACAGTTTCTCCCTTTGCATCACGGTGAGCGGGCCAAGTTTGCAACGCTTGCAAAATGAAAATAAAATATTTTCATTGCGGTAAGTGAAAATTTATTAGTGGTTTTTAGTTTATTCGAGTATGCATATATTTTGCATTACATTGGCTTGCCAGCTTGGTGTCTGTGTTTTGGGTTCTTGATGTGCGCTCTGGTTTTCAGTTTGCAGTTTTCGTTTTCAGTTTTCAATTTTCAGTTTTGCGTTTTGCTTCTGTCGCCACTTAATTTTATTTGTTTGTGTCTGTGCAAATGACTAGCACAGGGCATAAAGGCATCGTCTGTCTGTTAGACGCGTTGATAATTTCACTGCTTGTTGCTCTCAAGTGGAAAATAAACTTTTTGTGCGAAATTTTCGCAGCTCAACATCAACACGAACCCAGACACTGACGCAGACACAGCGAGACCCAAAGAAGGAGCCAGATGAAGCCAATAAGTGAGCATCCGGTCGCTGACGCCGAGCGTAATTTCAGCCACGCAATTTTACATTAAATTGTTTTAATGGATTGCACTTGAAACTAAGCGTCGAAAAGCAGCGAAAACAGATGCTGTCTGTCCTGGCTTTCAAGTGGCTTTTATCTATACATATATATTGGAATATCTATGTGCATGCATATTTCTCGACACTGCTGAACTGACTGAATGACTCAAAATCGAATGCATTCACAACGACCGACTATTTTTTGTAGCAGTGCAAACACATAAATGACATCAATAATCGCATAAATAGCTTAAAATAACAAATAACTGCCTTTACTCGATACAAACAAACGGCAAACAGTGTTCGATGGCAAGTTCTAAATGCTCTCATACATTTTTTACAAATCTTAAATTGCAGCAATGATCAACAGAGCCAGGCAACTACTTCGACCGCCAGGGCCACTTCATGTAATCAATGCTTATCAGTATTTTTCCATAAGTTAGTAAATGCCAGCTCAAAGTGTCGAACTGTACTTTTTGTGTGTTCAGTGTGTCAGTTTTAAATGCTATTCATAAAAAGATTATTTTAAACAATCTCGCAGTAATCTGTTTAGTACCGAATTCCTAATACCCTTGTGGAGAATAGATTAACTTCTCACATGACATGCTGTGCAAGAAAATGTGCATTGCTTCAAGAACATTTGAGTATATTTGCACAAGGGCACATAAAAGTTGTTATTGATACAAATTAATTTATTAAAATAGCAAATGTAATTTTGTAGTTTAGACATAGATTAGTTCTCATACCCTCAGTAAGGGTATATCAAATGTTTACCCTGACCCCGTTAGTTGAGCTCAAGCAGTGATTTGACAAAAACTAATCTTGTGTACATATTTACATACTATACTTATAGAATGTATATATGCTATGTACATATGTGTTTATGTATAAATATCAAATTTGTTTAATCAGCAGCTTATACCCTATTCAAAATAAGGTGATTAGAATAGGTTATTTAAAATAAATGTTGTGCTTTGTTTTTTCATTTAAATGATCAGAATTATTGAATGAGCACTGATGAAATATGAAATATCTTGCAGTTGAATACACTCAAAGTTATTTGACCAGATTAAATGATTGACTATATAATGATGTATTTTATACTTTATTTATTTGAAAAAGGGGAGCACCTTATCAGAATTGCATTTCTATGCTACACGTGTCGTCCGTTGACGTAGCCGTCTCTACTCAGAGATCGCAACAAAGCAAAACAAAAAAAAAACTCTATCTTAGTCAAGCCGAAGATTAAACACCCTTGTACACCTGATCACATCTAATTAGAATTCATTAATCCACAGTTATTCCAATGAGAGATATATGAAACAACCACTTAATATGTTGCCAAAAAATGATTATTTCCGTAAGAACTATATTCAAATCTGTTGATTTATAATATACTTTTTTTGTGTTTCCTAACTATGAATTTTACATCTATATTCATGCGTAATAAAAAGGATATTTCCTTAAAATTGCAGGCTTTAATTTATATCTGTTATCGATTCCTACCGTATTTGGAGAAAATTTGCTGCAGGAAGTTATTTATAATTTAAAATTAATCTTATCTGATCTGGAAGACTTGCTTTTCACACAACACACATTTTCTATGAGTTCCGGTAACGCAAATAAACCGAGTTTTTGATTGGAAATAAGTTATTACCAATATATATATATATGAATATTCATAGATCGTAGCTATACCCCAAAGAAGTTCATCATAACGGGGATGTAATTTCCTCAAATTAGATTGCATAATCTGTTACTGACTACTTATTTTTATTTTAGCCAATAAAAACAATATTAATCAAATAGAATGTAATCTTTACTACAGTTAACCTACAGATTGAACTATACTTTTTCTTAAGTGGATTTTTAAAAATAAATAATGCCTAATATGCACTTGTAATCAGAATGAGCAAAATGCACTTTGACCGTGCCGATTATAACGTCTGTAATGTTGATTAGTCGTTGCAAATTTAAAGGGTTACGAGCGTTGTACTGCGTTCAGTTCTAGGCATTCAGTGCAGTTGAATAGATCTTCTTGGGAAAGTAAAACCAAAAAAAAAAAAATGGGCAAATTTGTTGTGATTTTGCTGCTTTGCGCTTTCCTCGCTGTAAGTTAAAGTAATTTTTCTTACAATGATGCCGCTTGCTAAGTATTGCATTTAATAGTTGTGCGGTGCTGATGAGGTCAAGAAGGAGACGACTGCTATGGAAGAACTGATCGCCACTATTGAAGCCCGTGCCAATGAAGTCAAAGAATACATTAACTCACATGTGAGCGAGGACCAACTGAAGCAATTCGCCGAGCAATTCGCCGAACATGGCAAAAAGTTCATTGCTGATACACAAGCAAGTCTTCAGACTTTGGGCGAGAAGAAAGCGTAAATAATACACCAAATCTGATTATGTACACCAATATGTATACGAGGAATGGCATATGTTTAAGATTGAATCGCGTGTCTTTTGAGGCACTGTACATTTCAAAATTTTAGCTCAAGGTTGGCCTTGTACAAAAATAAAAATAAAAAAATACACAACACTAAAGCATGCAGCGAAAAATTAAAGATGATAAAGTATTTTGAATTAAATAGTATAAATGTACAGCGTCCGTACAACATGCAGTCGATAGAGATTAAAAAAATCAAATTTGTGCGTGGAGGAAGTAAATAGGTGCTATATCCTATCAGTGAGTATTATAATTTAATAATCTTCGACCCCATAAAATATACACATAAAAGACCCCATATATATACATATTCTCGAGCTTAGCCAGTCTAACATTTTGGCCCAGTTGTCTGTACGAGTGGCTGTAACGCTATCAAAGATCTTAGAATCCATCTTTGATGATCGCTCGATTTTCAAAATAATTGGTACTTCCCAATATGAATAGCAAACATATTGTACAAGAACAATTTCAGACGCGACTTGGAAAGAACTTTAAATAAATATTTATACATAATAGCTGATAAGTTCACAGCATGTGCGAGCAGCGCTGCTCTCTGGCCTGTCAACATCATGAAAATCAGCAAGCGAGCTATAAATTTCCGTCGGTTGCCAGCAGTTCAATCAGTACTCCATTCACTGTGTGACTGTGTAGAGCTAAATTCAACCCAATAAATCTAAGCAAAAATGGCAAAGATCGCTCTGGTTTTCCTGCTCGTCGCAATGTTTGTGGTATGTTGAGATTCATTTATAAAGCTAAGTGAAAAATGTGTACTTAGACATAAATGTCTTATTATATATTTATAGTATTGCAGCGCCGAGGAAGCAAAGAAGGATGCTGATCCATTGGCCACAGTGGGCGCAACCGTACAGGAGTTCATGGACAAAGTCAAAGCAACCCTGACTTCTGATGAATTTAAGAATACTGCCGATCAGATCGGTGCAAATTTACAGACGTGGTTTAATGAAACCAAAGCGAACTTGGAGAAAATGGGCGAACAATTGAAACAACCCAAATAATTTAAATTGAATTATTTGTGTACAATAAAAAAACGCATTTTTAATTTGTCTAAATAAAATGCGGTAAATAAATTTAAATCTAATGAACAAACAAAAATATCCCAACACGCAGCTCAGAAAATTATGTGATAGCCATATTGGTTGATATGCTTTTGTTAACATGTAGTATATGCCACAGGAGAGCAAAAAGACACAACTTCAGACGGCCAGAAATAGGTTTACTTTTTTAAAAATTAATATCGGTCTTGTATATGCTTAGAGTGGAGGAAAAGTCAATTTATTCAGCATCTCTTGTATTGTGAAACAATGGCTCATAAGACACGCATAATTTGTGCAACGTTCACAAGATTTATGACATAATCTTTGGGTGTCTCTTCTTTAATATATCAAAGAAGAAAATCATTATCTGTTCTACTTTTCTATACTCTGATTCCGAAGGTATTGTCCGTCATTATGAACGCAACTTTTTTCGACACACTTAGATATAGCGACGTGAAACTTGGAACATATACTGGTCTGTGCCCGCGTCAGACAAAGTGTCAAAATTCTGGAATACTAGGAGGCTAGGAAATCGACAAATAATCGCATATCGATAAAGACGTATACCTCCCACAATTTTAAGAATTGTAGGTTATTGGCGATGTCATTCTCATCATATTTGAAACGCTGAAAGTTTCTCTACTTTTCCGGA